CTTGCTGCATAGAATAAAATTTCCATCCTTTGAGTTTGAATCTGTGGATTTCTTTCTGAATTAAACATGTTTCTTGTATACTGCATAATTTGGGTTTTTCTTGATCCATTTTGTTAGTGTTTCTTTTGATTGGGGAATTGAAACCATTCACGTTGAAAGTTATTATTGAAAGGTATTGATTTATTCTTGTCATTCCATTACTTTCCCATTGCTGATTTCCTTATTTTTTTCCCTTTTGCTTAGTTGGTCACATCAAGTGTATTTATTCTTTTGAAATTATTAGCATTATTGGCCTTCTTGTCTTTTTCTAGGATATCCTTATTTGTTGTAATGCTGGTTTGCTAGTCATGACTTCCTTGAGGTGGTCCTCATCATGGAAATACCTTATTTCTCAGTCAATTCTGCAGGAAAGTTTTGCAGGATGCAAAAGTGGGTGTTCGAAGGTATTTTTAGGGCTTCAAACATTTCACTCCAAGCCCTCCTGGTTTTTAGGGTTTATTTTGAAAAGTCTGATGTAATTCTAATGGATTTACCTTTATGTATGATTTTTCGTCTTTCTGTAACAGATTTTAAGAGTGTGTCCCTGTAACAGGCTTCTGATACTTTGAGTGTAAGGTGGTGCATAGAGATTCTGTTTTGGCTAGGGCTACTCAAGGTTCAGTATTCCTCACTTATCTGTACATTTACTTCTTTCCCTATATTTGGGGAGTTTCCTGCCATTATTTCTTTGAACAGATTTTTTAAAGTACCATTTATATTGTCTTCTGATTTTTCACCTATTCTATTTACTCTTAGTCTTCTTTATATCATCTAGCTGCTGTTGAGTCCATTTTTCATGTTATGTTCTTGCTTACAGTGTCATCAAATAGTTGGTCCTTAAAGGCATCATTGTCCTCTAGTTCTGATATTTGGTCCTCACATTTGTTGCTTCTACTGGACATACATTCAATATAATTTTTAATCACCTGGATTTCTTATTGAAACATCTTCATGGACTCTAATTTTTGCTAAACTGCTCATTCATGTTTTATATAAATTTGCTTAGCTCATCTAGGACTTTATTAGTGTGTTATGAAAGCTCCTGGGTCATTGGGGTTATTACTTTATTTCCATTATCTGTTTATATTTTCTATGATCCTGCTAAATTTATCAATGAATTAATGCCAGAAATGAGCAGCTTTCTTCTATTATGTTCTTTCCTGATAGATCCAAAGGCAGCAGAACCAGCTTACCATGAGCTGAAACATGTGAAACTGGAATCTTTCACTTCTTAAGTAATTTATGTGGTTGTTATTGTCAAGTGATGTAAAGATGAGTAGCAGGATGACACAGACAAGTTGACATTTTCTCTGGTGTTGGAGAAATCAGTGATTTTCCATAAATGATACCCTCCCATAGTAACCACACATGATGTGCTAGGAGTGTGCACTTGTTCATAAGCTCTTCCTAACTTGGGAAGAATGCCATGGCCTGTATGGCTAGGCTTTCCATCATTCACAGTGTATAACAGCAGAATAATATAGTAAGAAAAAATGTAATATGTGTCCTCTAATGTCATTAAACATGTTCCCCACAGAAAACCATAGCCCAAAGTAGTAAGAAATCTCAAATCTTAGAAATACATATCTTGAGTCAAGATAACAGATTACATTCAACAAAACTTTTCACCATTGCAAAAATTATGTACTATCTCTACTATAGTGAATCATGATGCTTAAACAAAGAAGGCAGTAGAGTCTGCACTCCTTTCCACTGTCAACATTGATACTTTAGCAGCTGTTAAAATGGGTAAGTGGGTGTCACTTACAGAGACAGAGTCAATATTTCACTAATTCATATGCTACTGTCCATAGAGAAAATGTACTAAACATCCACAGCTTCTATACAACATTGCCTGACAAGGTTTATTTTTCTGTATAGCCCTAAAATTTTAACCATCTTATTAACATCTCATTAATATATGTTAACAGTATTATTTTTTTACATTAAATTATATTAGTACATGTGTATGACATTATAATGAATTCATTTATCATGAGTTAGAACATGCACATATTGCATTTTTATCCTTAACCTCTTTCCTTCACTAAGCTCTTCATCCACCACTAGATCCCTTTCCTATCTACAAAGGAACTACCTCTTTTCTTTTAGATAACATTTCACTTTACTTTTTAAATTATACTTTGGATTTTTTACATTACAGAAATCATGTCATAGTTCACATTTTATGTCTGATGTTTCCATTACCATTATGATCTGAAGGTCTATCCATTTTCCTACAAACAACTTGAATTTACCCTTTTTTAAGGTGGAATACTCCATTGTTTGTATGTATATGTTTCTTTCCATCCCTCTGTTGATAGGCATAAAGGCCATTTCTAAGATTCAGCTATTGTGAGTTGTGCTGCTATAGACTTGGATTTGCCTGTCACTGAAACATCCATCTTTAAATCTTTTAAGCAGATACCCAGGAAAGGAATCATGGTACCGAATGGAATTACCATTTTCAGTGGTCTTAATCATTTCTACACTGACTTCCATAGTGGTTGAACTAGTTTACATTCCCACCAACACTGTAGAATGGTTCAGTTTTCCTCTACTTCCTGAATGTTTGTTGTTTTTGAATTCTTGATAGCTGTTGTTTCTGGAACAAGATTTTGTTTCAATTTATTTTTTTCTACTGGTCAAAACTGCTGAATTTTTGAGGTAGTTAGGGGCAATATGTACTTCTGAAAAATGTATATTTATTTTGTAGCCCATTTTTTAAATTACATCTTTTAATATTGGGAGTATATTTTTTGATTTCTTTATATATTCTAGGTATCACTCTTCTGAGTAGCTGGCAATTTTTTTCCATTATATAGGTTATTTCTTCACTGTATGGAATTCTTTTAATTTGATATAAGCCAGTTTGTTCATTGTTTTTGATACCCCACCTCATTTTCTAACAAAAATATTAGTAACAGTATTAAAAAATAGTATTTTCATGCCACTTTATTCAGAACATGGGATGACTAGCTTATTCATGTTTCATCATATATTTTTTAAGTCTATGATGCAGGCATCTTAGTGCTTGACAAATATTACAATAAAAAGAATGTTTCCTGAGCAACAAAATCGTGACTTGAGGTAGTGATATTTTCTCTGTCTGATCTTAGGTTTAGGTCTGAACCTAAATTGTTTCTTTCCTTTAACTTAAAGAGACCTATTATATAGTGCTAAGACATCTAGCTAAGTACTCCAGGGCAGCTTCAAATGCATGATCATCCTGCCTTGGATTCTCCAGAAGCTGGGACCAAACAAATGCACCAGAACAACTGGCTTGGACTTTTATAGGTTAAGTGAGAAAAGGACACAGATGCAATTGTATTAAAATAATTTTGATACTGAGAAATAAAATCAGGAGCACTAAAGCACCAAGCTACATGATTACACCTTTGATACTTACTTTTAGACAGGGTCTCATGAAATTTTCCAGAATGGCTTCAATTTTATTTTCCTCTCACTGCCACTTGAGTAAGGCATGCACCACGAGAACCAGCAAGATTTTATTGAAGATAAAAATGGTAGGAATGTAAATGTCCTCAGGATAAAGTACCTTCTATTTTAAACATCCCATCACATGTTGGAAAAACCAGTAACAACATACACTACATATCTTCCCGGTGACAGTAAAAAGTGAGCTACTATGAAGTTAGTTACATTGCAGTGTGTAAAAATTGATAGTGTACTCTGCACTATATTATGTTCCACGAACTACATCAGATATTTCATGCGGTGTTTTGAAACAGACTTAAGCAGGCACCCCGTCTGGCTAGAAAGGCAGACAGCAGGCGCCCGGGAAGCAGCGCGGAGACACGCTGGCCCTCGGGCCAGCCGATGGTGCGCGGTCAAGAACCGCAATGCCACAAAGAAGCACTGACACAATAGGCCCGCACAGAGACGTGCGTGAACCATCCCAACATGGAGAAACCTCTGGGAAAACTTGCCACACAGTGGGTCGCTCTTGGCCCTGCCCTTGAGAGCCAGAAAGGTCCGGAGTCAGCGGAGAAGCAGCTGGTGAACAAGGACACGGGGATCACGAGAGTACCAACGCCCAACGACTCAGTTGTCGAGCTGACTGGGGATGCGAGAGCCATTTGGGAGCTGGTAACCAGGAGGACCTTGTGCAGCACCCGGGGAGACCCCCGGAGGCCATTCTCCCCCTAACTGTACAGGCTGCGGTGGAGGAGCATGTGGAGCTCTGGAGAGGTCTGCACCGAGACTTCTTGGATTACAAGGGTGCCCAATATTCAGATTCTGTAGAACCGCCTTCATGGAGAAGGAGGAGCCCTGCAAAATTGAGCATAGAGGAGAAAGTGGACGGCCCGTGGCTGGACACTGGTGCTGGTCTCTCGGTCCTTCTTTTCAGTCCTGGCCTTCCTTCCAGCTCAGTGAGGGGAGTCACTGATGAGGAGGTAACCTGCTATTTTTTGCAACCCTTGGGCTGTAACTACTTGTTGGATCTTTCTTGCATATCTTTGTTTTCCTGAGGAACCACTTTGAGGATGCCAACATGTATTGCAGCAGCCATTGATGATTTCCTGCCAATCTGTCCATAACTCTGTAATGTTTGTATTGCTCCTATGCTATTTTGTAAGTGGATGTATGTTTGTTACTATGTGTTTGGAACAAAAACCATTGAGAATAGTCAATGATTATTTGATAACTCATGTATAGCTCTATTTATTTTCCCTAGAGACCGCTTTGGAGAAACCAGGGTATAGTACAACCATTGATAACTTTCTGCCATTTCTGTCTGTAACTCACTGTTACTTGTCTGTTTGTTTTCCTGAGAAACTATCTTGAAGATACCAATAGGTACAATAACAACCATTGATAATGTCCTACCACTTTGTCTATAATTCGGTGTATCCCCCTACTGCTTTGTTGTACTTCTTTTACTCTTTAAAATAAAAATAAAAAATAAAAAAAAGAAACAGACTTAAATGTAGATATCACCAAATTTTCATGACTAATTTATGTGTCTCAACGTAATTAAAGACAGGACAAGCAAGTATACCATCCACTTATGTTTTCATGTTACCAAAGGTTCATCACAATGTAATCCCATGAGAAACTGAGCAGTTGCTGGATTCATGAGCAAAGGTATTCAAAACATTTTATAAAATTTTTCAATGTTTAAATGTAAGGAAGGAAAAAATACAAGTCAGGGAGTCCAGAGTTGGCTTAATGTTCATAACTTGGTTAAGTCTATGTGACTGAAAGAATGTCACATATCTCAATCATAAGAGCACAGTCCTTACAGATAATGAAAAAAGAGCATTGCAAAAATTTATATCTAGAACAAGTAAAACAACACAATCTGAATCAAATTTGTAAATTTCCTCGTTTACTGAACTGATACCTCTCATGAGTTAGGCTTTTCTTCATGCTATTAGGTCAGGTTTTTAGGCAAAACATCACAACATCAGGGAATTAAAGAAAGGCATGTGCTTCATTACATGCAATAGCAACCATTCTCCTCAAAAGAACTCCATTGCTGACAAAAATTCCTTTGAAAATATTGTTGCTGACAATTCACATCATCATTTACACTTTTTGGACTGATATAATACTATAATCCTTGATATACTATCTAAAAACATTATGGTCCCAGTCTGTAGCCAAGGGCACTCACAGCAGTATTTTTTTTTTTTTTGGTAAAACTGATGGAAAAATTACCACCAAATTGAAAGTTATGAAAATATAAATACAAAAAGTAACATTTTGAAGGTTGAAACACATAAAATTTTGTGCATATAATGGCTCTAATATGAAAAAGTGAGTAAAATTACATTCTTGATATAATTAACAACAAACACTTTATATTATTCCTATAGATCTCTACTACAAGAGGAAATTTTACAGGATTTTCAAAATAGGCCTGCTTATATAGGATTTCTCCCCAGTGTGACTTCTTTCATGTATTTGACAATACTTGTTTGTACTAAATGCTTTCCCACATTGCTTACATACATATGGTTTTTCCCCTTTGTGACTTCTTTCATGAATCTGACAATCACTGCATGTACTGAATGCTTTCCCACACTGCTTACATGCATAGGGTTTCTCCCCAGTATGAGTTCTTTTATGTCTATAAAATGAACTGTTATCAGCAAATGCTTTCCCACATTGCGTACATACATAAGGTTTCTCCCCAGTGTGAGTTCTTTTATGTATTTGACAATCATTATGTCTGCTGAAAGCTTTTCCACACTGCTTACATATATAAGGTTTCTCCCCAGTGTGAATTCTTTCATGTATTTGACAAGTACCTTGTCTGCTAAAGGCTTTCCCACATTGCTTACATACATAAGGTTTCTCCCCAGTGTGAGTTCTTTCATGCCTTTGACAATGACCTTGTGTAGTGAAAGCTTTCCCACACTGCTTACATGCATAGGGTTTTTCTCCAGTGTGACTTCTTTCATGTATTTGACAATCATAGTGTCTGCCAAAGGCTTTCCCACATTGCTTACATACATAGGGTTTCTCTGCAGTGTGAGTTTTTTTATGTTCATATAATAAACACTTAGAACAGAAAGCTTTCTCACACTGCTTACACTTATAGGTTTTCTCACGGGTCTGATTTTGCTCATGTTTTTGACAATGACTGTGTGTACTGAATGCTTTTCCACATTGCTTACATATATAAGGTTTTTCCCCAGTATGTCTCCTTTCATGTTTTTGACAATTACTGTGTGTACTGAAGGCTTTTCCACATTGCTTACATACATAGGGTTTCTCCCCAGTGTGATTTCTTTCATGTATTTGACAATCATAGTGTCTGCTGAAAGCTTTCCCACACTGCTTACATACATAGGGTTTCTCCCCAGTGTGAATTCTTTCATGGATTTGACAGTTACTATGCATACTGAAGGCTTTCCCACATTGCTTACATACATAGGGTTTCTCCCCAGTGTGTATCCTTTCATGTCTTTGACAATGCCAAGATGTAATGAAAGCTTTCCCACACTGCTTACATACATAGGGTTTCTCCCCAGTGTGAATTCTTTCATGGATTTGACAATTACTGTGCATACTAAAGGCTTTCCCACATTGCTTACATACATAGGGTTTTTCCCCAGTGTGTATCCTTTCATGTCTTTGAAAATAACTACGTGTGATAAATGCTTTCCCACACTGTTCACATACATAGGGTTTCTCTCCAGTGTGAATTCTTTTATGTTTGCAAAAAGAATTACTATGGGAAAATGCTTTCCCACATTCCTTACATACATAGGACTTCTCTCTGGTATGTGTTTTTTCATGTATTTGAAAATAGTGGAAAGACATAAAAGCTTTTCCACATTGTTTACACACATACGGATTCACTCCACTGTGATTTCTTTCATGATTCTGAACATAACTGGATGTTCTGGAGGCAGGCATACCTTTACACACAAGAAGTTTCTCTCCAGCATGAGGAGTCACAGTAGGTTCAATGGAATTACAGTAGGTTTTCCCACATGGCTTGTGTTCATAAGGTTTCTCTCCAGAGTTTATACTTTCATGCTTTTGAAACAACTGGAATTTACTACAAATTTTCCCATGTTCATTACATTTATGTAGTTTCTCTTCTAATCTCTCATACTCATATGGTTTCAGTCCTGTGTGAGTTATGACGGGGACATTTAGCAATAAATAATCAACCAGGGGCCTTCTACAATTAAGGCTTTCAGCTGGATTGAAACCAGGTTTTTTGATGTTCACATTAGGATCTGAAGTCCCAAGAAATACTTCTTCATGTTCAGTCCAATCTTTGCATTCATAGTATTTTTCTATGTTTTCACTTCTGTTGAAAAAAATCACAATAAAAAGGATCACGTTATCATTATTGATTTTCCAAGACAACAGTTTCACTTTATGGGATGGTGATTTCATACTTTTTTATGGTTATATATACTGCATGATTTTTTTTTCCTTCCTGTGATGAGAATAAAATTCATGGTCTTAGCACTGAATCACACTTACAGCTTTTTTTATCTTTTATTTTGTGACAGTTTCTCATCAATCATTAAGTAGCCTGGACTGAGCTTCAACTTGTCATCCTCCTGCCTATGCTTCCCTGCACGCTAGGTTTACAAGCATGCATTAGCATGCTGAATCTATCCAATTTTCTTTATACATGCATCTATTGATGGACATCTAGGCTATTTTCAAAACTTAGCTATTGAAAATCATGCTGCTTTCATCATGTGTATGCATTTATCACTATAATTTTAACTCGATTGAGAATATACTCAGGAGATGGATAACTGTATCAAATGGAATTTCTATTTTTACTTTTTGAGACATCTACATATTGATTTTCAAAATGAGTATACCTTACATTCCCACCAATGATGTAGGAGAATGACTTTACTGCTACAAGGTTAGCAATTCTATATATACTGAATGTTTATATTCACATGTATACATAATTAGATACCCTGAAGCCAGGTACCTATCAAAGCACAAAATTTATTCATTTCATATATGCATATACCTAATGTCTAAATGCAATTTCATACATTTGCATGATGTTGATCATAGAAGAACATTTTTATACACTAATATATCAGATAATATCATTTGTTGTATAAATCAATATACCTGAGTTTCCAAAACTGGAAAATTTCAGATATTCAAATATCAGATTGTAGATACTCAAACTAAACACATTTGCAGAATGTTTGTGGAATTATATAAATTTGAACATGGTGTCATTTGTACAGTTTGCTTGGTTTTAATATTTCTACTAGCACTCTGAATCTTGAGGAACTTTCCTTTGTTTTCTAAGTACCACTTACCTTAGATTTCTCCAAAAATTTTTGTACTCTTCTTTAATTTGCTGGTTCACCCAGTTTCTTCCTAAATTGTAGATATAGATGTAAAATGAATCAATATATTACATAAAATTATAGATTCCAGTTAGATTCATGGTATAAAGTGACCATGTTTAGATATTCATCAAAATGTTTTCACATTCTAATTAATGCAACTGCACCAGTGGGGGGGGGAATTTTCTCTGAATGTATAAATTAGAAAATGATGTCATCCATACCTATAGCCACCATGTTCCTAAAGGTTTCCCACATTACATCTCTGTAGAGCTTCTTTTGGGATGGATTCAGCAAAACCCACTCCTCTATGGTGAAGGTCACTATCACATCCTCAAAGGTCACTGCCTCCTAAATCACAAATATACAGTATTTTCAGAAAGACTCACAGCAGGAACATCTCAACTTTACTCAGAAAAAGTTCAATTAAAGTTGAATCCCTCAGATATTAACTCCATGTCTTGGTCATCAAACCCTTACCTCCATTCATGTGCACATTATCACAGATAGCAATTCTGATGATAGATTTTAACACATTACTAAAGCCACAGAAGAATAGGAGTTCAGGTTATCTAGCATATTAAATTTATGCAGTGTCTCTAAGCACAGTTCACAGATGGAGCACATAAGACACTAATACAACTGTAGAGTAACAGAATTTTCTTAAGTAATATTCACCCATGTAGACTATGTCCAGAGCAACAATAAAGACCTTAACATATCCAAAGAAATGGCAATCATGCAAAGGAAGGCCTCCATATTGGAATGAAACTAGAAACCAACAATAGAAACATACTTAGAATACTCCTAAAAATTAGAGATTAAATTTAAATATTTTAAACGGCACATGTCAAATGAAAAGCTTGTTTAAATATTAAGGATTTCAATAATTAAGAAAATGAATGTACATCTTATTATTGTTTCAGTGACTTCAAAAGAAATGAAAAACAATTAGTATAAACATTAGAAGAGAAAATCTTCAGAAAATGACAGAATAACAAAATAAAAATGAAAACCCCTCAGTGTTAAAAGTAATAGCAAATTTTACTGTTCAATTTTCACATAGATTACAAACCACAACCCAGATGAAATTATTATAAGTATGCCAAAGACATTACTAAATAATTAAATAACATCACCCAATACAATAAAATCTAAAGAACAAAAATCCTAAATACTATCAATGGGTACAGAAAAAACACAAGGAAGAAAAATGAAAGGCAATGAAATTAAGATAGAACACCAAGCCCCCTGCCAAGAGTCTCAGTCAGCTTCTGTCACCCTCCAGTCACTGGGATAATAAGACTGCTGCTGCCTTCTATATGTTGACCATGCTGTCCCAGGTGGTACTTTCTGCTGACATTAGAGTGGCCCCCTGTCTGAAGGACATAGCCTTCCTAGAACTAAGGATGGTGCAGGCAATAAGGACCTTTAACAGAAGGCAGGCAAGACTTGTTCCTCCCATCTTCCTGAATATGGTGGGAATTTACCTTGAGCTGATTTCTGAGGAATTTTTCTAGTTCTTTATCTTAAAACCAGAATAACAGGAACCTGTGTGCTTGAAACTAGATTTATCTTGTATTTTATGTCCAAAGAAACATATGTGATTACCCTTAGATACCTTTTCTATCACATCTGTAGTAAGGCTACTTGTCTTTGTAATTTTTAAAAATGTATCTCTTTTGGAGAATTTGTTAAATTCAATGAGCAAAAAATTGCCTAACCAGAAAAGGTAAAGAAAGCTTACAGGAAGCAAATACAGGATGAAATTCAAATGAAAAAGTCTCAGCAGCCACTGGTTTAGAAGGGTCACTAACTTTTTGTCCATAGAAATATGCTGTCACCTTAGAGATTACTTATATATATGGAGATGAAGAATTGCCTGAACTATCAGATCTCCGTGCAGAATATGATGCATCAGAACACGAACACATGATGAAATAGGTGGAGAAGCAAGTGGTGTACAGGAGTTATGCACAGCAGGAAAAGAAGACAATTGCTAAGTGCACTGCAGATCTAAAGCATCTTGTAAAAAAGGTTCAAGCACAGCTCATCATGTAAAGGTATCTGTTCCAATTGTGACAACCAGAAAGAGTTGACTAAATGGAAACTACTCCATGTGATACAAACTTCCTGTATAGCTGTTTGCAGAATACTAAGCAATTGTCCAACAGAAAACATTGTCTTTTATTATTGCCTCAATTTCCTTGCTTGTTACGGGATTTTTAATATTTTTAGGTTTTCTTGGTTTAGTTTTGGTAATTTGTAAAAGTCTAGGAATCTGCCCATTTCCTCAGAGTTTTCCAAATTGTTTGAATATAATTTTTCATAGTAGATACCAACTATCTTCTGGATTTCTACTGTTGTAATTTCATCTTTTCATTTGTAGTTGTTTTGATATGAGTCTTTTCTCTCTTCCTTTTAGTAATTTTTGCTAAGGGGTTCTCTATTTTACATATTTTTAAAAAGAACCAGCTCTTCAATTTATTGATTTTTTGTATTTTTTGGTCTCAATTTCATTCATTTTCTCTCTGATCTTTATGATTTCTCTCCTTGATCTTGATGTGGGTATGACTTCTTGTTTCTCATATATCATGAGGTTTCCCATTAGGTTATTTAATTGAGCTCACTGTTTTCATAATGTAAACGTTGACTACAATGAACTTCCTGCCTTGGTCTGCTTTCACCGTGTACCACAGTATCCAATGTGTTGTACAGATTAAACACATTTAATTCTAGAAAATATTTAATTTCTTCCTTGATTTCTTTTGTGACCCATTGGGTGTGCAGGAGTATGCTATTAAGTTTCCAAGTTCTACTAAATTTGTTTTTTTTTTTCCCCCCAATGTTGACTTCTATTTTCATTGCACCATGGCCTGAGAGTAAATATAGGGTGACTTTGAATCTTTTATATTTTTAAGCAGTCTTTGTGGACTAGTATATGATATTTTGGAGAAAGTTCAATATGTGTTTTAGGGAAGAATGTACACTGTATTGTAGTAGAGTAGAACACTCTGTAGACATCTATTAAATTTGATTTCTTCAAAGATATACTTCAGCTTTGATACTGATACTTTGTTCAGTTCATCTTTTTCTGTGATAGTGGGGTATTGAGAAAGTACAGGACCTGATTGATTCACAGCTGAATTCTGTAGAGACTTTAAGGACTATCAGTGACCAATGTTCTTCAAAATCTTCAATGAAATTGAAAGGGAAGAAGTGTTTTCAAATTCATTTCTGGAAGCCAGCATCATTCTGATCCCAAAACCACAGATCCAACTAACAAGGAAAGTTGCAGGCTGATCTCAATGAACAGAGATGCACAATTCCTTAGCAAGACATTGTCAAACAATGCAACAAATAATCAAAAGGATCATACTTCATTACCACATAGGTTTCATTCTAGAGTTCCAGGGATGGTTCAACATACACAGATAAATGTAATATACCACATAAACAGAAGCAAAGATAAAAACCACATGACAATATCAATTGATACAGAAAAGGCTTTTGACAAAATCCAATACCACTTCATGATAAAAACTTTGAAATAAACAGGTATAGGATCTTACCTAAATCTTATGAAAGCTGTTTATTATAAACCAATGGCCAACATCATATTAAATCGTGAAAAACTGAAAGCTTCTCTTCTAAAATCAGGAATAAGAAAAGGATGCCCATTCTCACCACCTCTGTTCAACAAAGCACTTAAAACATTAGCTACAGAAATTGGGCAAGAGAAAGAAATAAAGGAGATATATATAAGAAAGTAGGAAGTTAAATTATAATTATCTTCAGATGACCTGATACTCTACATGGGAGACATAATGAATTTCAAAATATAACTCAGAACAACCAATTTCAACAATGTAGGAAGGGGGCTGGAGATTTAGCGGGCACAGAGCCTGTCTGGCAAGCACAAGGTTGTGAGTTCAATTCCCAGTACCAGGGGAAAAACAACAACAACAAAAAAAAATTCTATGGGGCTGGGGATTTAGCTCAGCAGTACAGCGCCTGCCTGGCAAGCGTGAGGTCGTGAGTTCAATTCCCAGTACTGGAAAAAACAAACAAACAAACAAAAAAATGTAGGAAGATACAAAATTAATGCATAAAAATCAATTGTAATGAAATCAATGAGAACGAAATTAGGGAAACAATACCATTCACAATAGCATAAAAAAAAAAATCTAGGAATTAACCTAACCAAGGAAATGAAAGACCCTTACAGCAAAAACTATAGTATTCTGAAAAAGGAGTCTGAAAACATCAGAAAATGGAAAGATACCCCTGCTCTTAGGTAGGCAAAACCAATACTGCTGAAATGGCCATACTCCCCAAACTGATGTATAGATCCAATGCAGTATCAATCGAATACTAAAAGCATTCATCACAGTAAAGTTCTCATCTGGAGTCCTGTGATGGTTAGAACTATGATCAAACTTATTGGTTTGACAGATGCTTAGGATATTAGCAAAGCACATGTCCGAATGAGGCACAGAGGCCCAACCTAAGAGATTGTATCTGATGTCTGGCTCCTTCTCAGACTCTCCCGCTTCAAGAATATCCTTTGAAAGGCAGAAGAAATGATGCTAGAAACCTGAAGAAATTGGGGATCAACATCCAAATGCAATGACAAATACCAATATTCCTCCACATAAAAAATGAGGAGACAGACTTTTTCTCTTTTTATTTCATCTAGGATACAAACTTAATGGTGCCAACCGATGGTGGCCTTCCCTCCTTAGTTTGTGGCCTACATGCCAATCATCCATAGGCAGACACAGAGCTTTACTAACCTACTAGGTGGTTCCAGCACATCAATGAGCATATGACAATTAATAATCACAAAATCCTAAATGAGTCTTTCTTTAAGCTTGCACTTTACAAATATTCTTCAGATGTACAAATTATAGTCTCATTTCAGCAAATCTTTGCATGCAAAACATTTTCCAGTAAATGCATTACAAAAATCCAATTCAAAATCTCAGAAAAAAAAACAAACTCCCAACACCATCTGCACTTGCTTTCCAATATTCTGTAGTTGTCATGGTTAACAGCTCTCCCTACTATACAATAATTTAAAGTATCAAAGCAATCTTTTGCTATGAGAAACACAGATGCAAAAACTCACTTTATATGACAAAATTTATGGAAAAAAATAAATCAAATGTGAATTGTCCACATTTTCCTGTGCACTGGAGGTTCCCTCATCATTCCAGTAGAACACAGACAAGGAGCTTGGTGCCTAATGATTTCCATGCTGTTTATCTTTCTAAAACAATGTCTTGATTCTCATACCTCAACTGACCTATCTAGTCATTTCTATAATTTTTTTTTTTTTTTTTTTTTTT